TTTTCCTGGGAATAACTTCACGAATGTACCCATATGCATAAATTGCGGCATAAATTAATCAACTGCCAATCCTCAAAAGTAGCAGTTTTGTGGTGATTATGCCTCCAATGAAGACGGTTCCGACCACGAGTAATTCCAGGCATAGCAGCCATTTTGATTTCGTGGATCCAGCAACCTCCCTTTTGTTCAGAGGAGCATTTTGATTTCCTGTACGTGTTTCCGATTGCCTGAGATCCAGATAACTTCCCACGAAACGAAGGAAGCGGCTTTCGGGGGTTTTAAGTTTGGAATTACAGCGTGTTTTGAGCTGCAGTTGGCAGAGGGCTTCCCTGGGAGGCCACTTCAAAAATCTCGAGGAAGTTTCTCCGCAATGAACGTGCCGGCAACCTTCTCTCGCGACGGTTCAGGCCAAGTGCCTGCATTAATCCATCCTTGAGTGGTCCTTCCCTTCATCCGTTTCTCTCAAGAACACCGAATCCTAGTTCGATTTCCCACACGCTTCAATTTGCTCCCCCCCCCAACTTAAAAAAAAAAAGACATTAAAAAGTTTCATGGGGAAACCGCCTGACATCATTAGAGCAGGGACAAACGCTCACTTTGAAGGATGCCCGGGCAAGACTTCAAATGAAACTGTATGCCTGAGAAGAATTTGATACTGGACTCGGGAAAATAACTAGGTCGGCCTTTGCCAAACCGTGGAATGTGCAAGAAAGCTCCGCGGACTCGCCAAGTTCCAACCCGGGTTTCTCCGGCGGCTATTCACCCTCCACCTCCTGGGTTAGGCGAAGAACCCACCCACCCCAGCAGGGAGGCCTCCCGTCGCTTTGAAGTTGATTGACACAGAAACTTCCCTAGGGACCTTAAACGGTGAACAGAAGAATGTAACTTTCCAGAGTGACTTGGGTCGCCTTCAAGAGTTTGGTGGGGACCCTGCCTTTTGCTTCTCGTCCCAGCACTCGCTGCTGCTGAGACCCGAGTCCGGAAGGGGGGTTTGGGGAACCGAGAGCCCGCAATCCTGACTCTTTGGAAAAGCGGCCGACGCCGTTGTCAGCCAGGTTTCCAAGCAGGCGACATTGATGCCTTCCCTGCCTTCAAAGAGGCATGAGGAGAGGAGCTGCGCAGTTTCAGTGCCTGCGTGGCTGTTCTCTTCCACATCGGAACTCTTCAGGCGTCTTTGACTACAACGGCCATCCTCGCCCGGCACAACTGGGCCACGGGTGATGATGGAGTTGTAAGCCCATGCATGTGTGAGCACCAGATGGAGAAAGGATGTCTCTCCTTATGGTCCGCCTGGTCACCTTCCTTTGATCTTTCCAAACGCCTGTATTTCTAACGCCCTTGAGGGCAAGGGAGGAGGGGAGCGTGTGACCTCGAAAATCTTTGCCGCCGGTTATCAGAGCAGGCTTTTAATTGCTGTTCTCAATGTCAGTGTGGAAAAAAGAGAGAAAGGTATCAATCCAGTTCCACGCAGGCTTCCTGCGTATCAGTATCAGTGATACATAGATTGTGAGAATACTTCTGAGGGTTCTGCCTTCAAAAGAACTGGGGCTGATGATGAGCTAACCCCATCGCAAGCATCCAGTCCTGCTTAGAGGTAACTCCATCCTCGATCTGGAGCCTATTGACCTCAAGCACGGACAAACTGTCTAGTCTTCTGCCAAGAATAGGAAGTGGTTTCCTTTTGCCTTTTTTCTGGGATGTTTTCCCCCCACTGGAATTCCTTGGAAGTGTCCCCTTCAAATAGTAACCAAACCAAACCCTGCTTAGTTTCCCAGTTCAAACAAGCTCATTCAGGTGCTGCTTGGATCTGAAACAAAATCTGCTCCTGATTGCAAGCGCTTAACCTATCAGTTGTTTCACTTTCATTTCAGCTACAAATCAAAACAAGCTGCCGTTGGAAATCAGCGGCTGTTTCTTCCCGTTAAGCCACCGTTTGTTTAGCGCAGATTGCAAGGCAGACATCCTATTTAGTACCCATATTACAGATGCAATTCGTATGCATATGTACATTACAGTGCAACCCTAAGCATTCATTCTCGAATTCAGGTCTGCGGTGTTCAGTGGGGCTTGTTTCATAATAGGTGCGTTTAATATGACAGTCCTAAATAGCAGTTCTAAACTTACTTAGTTGGGGAAAAAATCTGCTGAAAATCAAAGGGACACGCAACGACAAATCAGGTTGTTTCTTTAGAAATATGCTGGCTGCTTCAACGTAAGTTGATTCTAAAAAAAGGTGCACAAAGTTGATCAACTCTTTGCCTTCTTGTCCTGAAGTAAATCATTTTAGTTAAATAGCAAACTGTTACATCTGTTGAATCTAATGAATTAAATTGAAACTGATTTGCTTACACTTAAAATGAATTAAAAATAAGAGAGTCGAGATGTATGAAGACAGTGATTTTTCACCCTAGAATTCAACCTTGATTAAAAATAAAACTCTTATAGCATTTCTCCCAACTCTGCCCCAAATGTAATCAAAGCTGAAAGCCACTTATATTAATATTGTTAATTATTATGCTCATTATAATAATAGGAGTAATCCAAGAAAGAGCAAAGAACATGCAGATATAATTTGGTGTCCTACCTTTCCACATTCCCCAGAAAAGATCTTGTTTGGGTCTCTAGATTCACATTTGAAGGTTTCCCTTAAATATCTCCGTTCTTAAACCATTGGCCCTTAGGAAACCAAAGCACCATCTTCATTTTTTCTCCACGATGCCCTCTGCCCAAATATATTTCTTCTTTCTAAGTCAGTGAAGTTTCAAAAATCCTGGATAATCAGCTTTAATATACCTCTGTTCTGCCACTTCAAATATGTGGGTTTTTGCAGAACTATACACACATACACATATTCAAAGTGTAGAGAGTCAATATATCTTCTGTTGAGAGGTAGATAAGAAGCTTAAGATAGCTCGGAGTTGTTAATAGGTAGATAAGGAAAGACAAACAAGAATGCCAGCACAATCTAGGCTAAGTAAACATCACTTGATTTGGAGGAAACCCGCCAATTTAACATTTCTCTTAGACTTCTCTGGAAGTTAGAAAGGAGCAAATAGCAGTTACAAGCTGGGGAGCCACCAAAATCTGAAGCGACCTGAACAGAATTCCTTCATGAATCGGCATGGAAGGAAGAAGTCAAAGTCTATTTTTGATGCTTTCCTCCTGGAGTTGCTAGCGTCGAAATCTGAGATAGATCAAAGCTGATGTTTCAGCTAGCTCTCCAGCCCACGTGAGCAAAAAGGCAAACTGATGGGCGGCAACAGGGTCTTCTTATTCAAAGCGACCCCCACCCTAAGAAAGGGTGCAGAGGGACTGCAACCTGCGATCTGGACTAACTGCATAGAGTCCCAGGCTCTGACTGCCATTGGACCTTACTTGTGCAAATGGTCCATTGGGATTCTTCCCTTGACTTTGGCCCAAAGAAAGGGAACGTGCCGTAACATCTTTAGGCTGTGGAATGAGGGGTTACTTAGAAATCTGCAAAGAGATATACGGGGACCCAATCTGGCATTTGCTAGTGAACATGCATCCTTTTCCCAGCGAAACGCCAGAAGACAGACCTTTCCTATATCAGGAAAGCAACAACAGGGATATTTTTTTTTCTTTTAAAAAGAAAGTATTGCTTTGAAATCGTAACTGGAAATATTCCTTGGCAATTTTGTGGAAATGAATGGGATTTGTTTCATGTTATTTTGAGCTTACCGAATCTATTTAGTCTGAACCAACCTCTCCCCTGACGTTTTCCAGATGTAATTGGACTCTGACTCCCATCACTTCTAAACCACGTTTACACTGGCTGGGCATGATGGGAGCTATATGTAACACATTGAGAGTGCCAGGTTGGGTGATATAAACATTCTAAAACTTACAAAGAATTCATTATTTCCAAGATACTCTAAATCCCAAGTTATTAGTTTCCCAGTTATTAAACCTCTGTGTCTATACTAATTGAATGTTAGTATAAAATCAACGGGTCTCTTGAGTAAACCTAACCAACTCCTTCTCATTGTCTCCCCCCAAAAAAGAAGTATGCACTTGAGGTGTAATTGCGGGATGTTCTGTTTATTTAGCACTGCAACAAAACTTAACACAGATTTTCAAGATAGCAAAACCCTCTACATTAACGAAGATACTAGATACAGAGGGGGCAATGGTTTTTCATTAAGAGAGTGGAGGGAAGAGACCCCTGCATATTTCACTGCTTTTGAACCTGTCAAGTACTTGGTTGTTTTGACTGAAAGAGGGTTAATATCTGAAGCTCAGTAAACCCACAAACAGAATCATAAAGCTGTCTCAATAATTAACACTCCTGTGTCTGTCAGTAGCTGGTTTATTTGCGCTTTCCCCCCATTTGTTTATATTTCCTCCTCTCTACTACCCACACCCACTATGCTTCTGGGTACTATCTGCGCTAGTATTATTTACTGTGAGTTTCAAGTCTATTTTTCTCAGTACAGATCAAACTGTTAACTTTCTTTAACAGTTCAATTTATTTATTGCAGAAAAATATACAATGATATTTACAAAACAATCATCAAAATAGGAATGCATTTAGACACTGGATCTATTTGCATTTTTAACATGGGTCATCAATAAATAAATAGAATGATTCATTTTTGTCCCCCCCCGCACCTCCCCCTTTTTTTCCAGGAACAATTCCAAAACAAAGCAAAACTAATAAGGAACCTGAAATATTTTGCTCATGAGAGTTTGAGCCAGTAAGGTTTTGCTGCTGAAATGGTTTTTGGGCGGTGGGTGGGAGAATTTCCCTTTCTCACTCCTTAAAAAGGGGGGGTTCGTTGTCATTAGATCTGTTCAAAAAGAAGGGTGGGGGACTCCAGTAACATATTTCCTTTCATGAGTGGCTCATAAGCTCTCTAGGGAATGCATGCATGCAAAAAAGAGGGAAAGGAAGTAGGGGGAAAAATTCCAACATTCTTCGTCAAAATGGTAAGGGGGGGGGAGCTGGTTCAGATTTCGATCAGAATGCAGAGATGTTTGGTAGATCATCCAGCCTTCACTCTGGATCAGCCACCTCACCGTCTGAGGGGCTCTAGGTCTCTTGCCTCAATTGCTCTCCCCACGCCCTGCTCTTTGCAACCTGGACCAAGAACGGGTCTACATTTCCAAGAAAATCCTTGGCGTGCTATAGTCTGAGAAGGGAGGAAATAACCCCGGGAGGTGGAATGAGGGCGAATCCAAGTGCAGAGTCTCTACTTTGTCCATTTTCTCTCCTTCCCTTTGAGAACAATGTTATCTGGGAGGAAAAAAGAGAGAGACAAGAAGGGAAGGGGAGAAGGGAGAAAACTGTTACTAGAAAAAAGAAAAACATTAACCCTCTTAGAAAGAGAGGGCGAAGCGAGAAGAAAAAGCTTCTTTTCGCGACCCTCCAGAACTATGACTCTGCTAGCTTCAAGCCGCGGTTTGCAAGGCTGCGTGAGGGTGTGAGTGCGCGTGTGTGTAGGGGGGAATTAAAGCACAAAGGAAGGCGGATTGGAGTGGGGGGAGGAATATTGGCAAGGCATGAAATCAGGAAACGCGCCGAAGGAAGCGTCACGGAGATCTATCTCGGGCGAATCTAGTAAATGGGGGATATATTATCCTCCTGAAGCTTAACTAAATTCTCCCTTAAATAAATCCTCGCTCCTTTTTGGGGTAAGTTGCTTCCAAGGAAGTCTGTTTCGGGAGCCGGAATTCCTGAGTTCTCCAATCGCCTCGTGGGAAGCCAGCCACCTAATGTATTGTGGGAACTGGGTGGGGGTTAGGAAGAGTGAAAATAATCCGAGTTGATGTGTACTGCCCCGCTGGCATCCTGGATCAAGCATCGGGTCCAAGAAAACCGAAGAAGAACGCGCGCAGAATTGTACAGATATTGTACAATTCTACACGTCCATTACCTACAACCACCGAAGCTTTGGAATAGGATCATTGGTCTTCGCTTTCCAGCGGGCTAGACCTCAAACTTTGGGTCCCGCTCTTTGAACAATTTCACCCAGAGCAGTTTGGCATTTAGTCAGCTTTTCCCATCGATGGAAGTTCTGCAGAAGTGGCCCCCTCCTATCGCCCTCCATCCTTTTACCTAAGAAGTTTCAGCCTCTTTGACTTTCGATCCCAGCCTAGTTCTTTCCAATCCCCCAGAGCAACTCCAGTTCGGCCCTCCCAGGCTGCGGTTAGAGAAAGGAGGGGGGGCAGAGGGGACCAAGAGAGGGATCGCCTAGTGTCTTTTTCTCTCAATCTGGTGCCTTTTGGGCACCTTGGACTTCAACACTCCTCATTCCAGGCAAATGGGACACTGAGTGATCTGGCAAAGGAAGCAACTGGGGAAAGGCTGATCTAATACCCTGAACCTGATCAGATTTACTCAGACATAAATCCAAATTGCTTCAGAGTTGATTTTATAAAAGAAGGATCTCTGGATAATTATAAGGATTTTGGCAATTGATCTTCCCATCAACTCCAGTTGGTGAGATTTACTCCAAAAGAATGCCAGTTATTGGATAGGAAGATCTGATTTTTTTCATGGGCCTAGAGCTGCACATACAATCCTATGTGTGAAGAATTGAAATCAATAGGATCTCTGAGTAAACAGACACAGGTTCAGGCTTGAAGCCCATTTTCTTCTCTCTCTCTCTCTCTCTATTCCAACTTTCCAGAAGATCTTTAATTTTTGAGGTAGTATTTCCATTTGCTCATATTTTTTACACCATGGTCTGATTTAACAAATTGCCCTCCTTCCTCCCCCAAGTTGGCAGTGCTAAACTGCAGTACAGGCACCAGCTTACCTGGGAGTAAGACATGTTGTGTTCAGTGGGATAAGGATCATATACTCTACTCACAAGTCAATTCCAACAAAATAATGTGACTTGTTTCAAAACAAATGTACTCTTACCAAGTAATTCTAGATGCATTTACTCTGGAATATGTAATAGGACTTAATCTCCAGTTCTTCCTGAAGGAAAATGAAATGGCCAAAATGGAACAATTCACGTTTTTAAAGAAGATCCATAGCTTTATTCAGGTATCCTGTCACTTTTATGTGTGAATAAAGCTCTGCATAGTTAAAAGAACTTGGCTCCAAAAATGAGCCTCCAGTTGCCATTATGATTTTTAAAAACTCCTTTGATTTTGAATTAGCAGATTTAACCATATGATTCCCATGTACGCTTTATCCTGATGAATTTTCTAGCAGGAAAGTATGCAAAAAAAAAGTTAGAAGAGCTAGAGCTGAAAAAACACATTAGGCTTCAGACTATTAGTGCCATCAATGCACATTTCTAGGGCAAGATCAAATACAAGTGGAGATAATTTAACATAGGACTACTTACATCATAATTCTGCATAGGATCTTGACTGCATTTCTACCAAAATTATGGACCTTCATCAGCTATAATCTGGGGCAAACCAGGAACAGTAAGTTTTGCATGTTTGCTTTCATATTTTGTTTTATGTTTTGTGACACAAAATGAAATTTTTACTCAAGCACTCCTTGTAGTGCCATTCTCAAAATAATTAGATCTTTGGTAATATAATTGGAGATGGTTAGCCAAGGAAGTCTAGCAAACAAGACTTTAGCTTAGAATCTACAACGTCCACTCAAATTTTGGTAAATTGAACCCATTATTTGATTTTTCTGATTTTTGTCATGAGTGTGAAAGAGAAGAAGAAGAAGAAGAAGAAGAAGAAGAAGAAGAAGAAGAAGAAGAAGAAGAAGAAGAAGAAGAAGAAGAAGAAGAAGAAACAACATGCAATTAAGCACTGAGCTTCTTAAACCCACCACCGTCCCTTCCTGAAATTGGGAATGTGTGTGGAAAATTCAAGAGGTGGTAGCAGGACTATAAACATTCCTAATGTCACATAGCTTCCAGGAAAATTTTGGAAAGAGATTCTATCATGCTGCTCATTTACAGATATTGGTGGACTTCACTCTGCATAAAGCAAGAAGGTACACAAGAAGATGAGCCTGGATATGTATAAATGGTCTGGAGAGAGAGAAAATGCAAGAAAAGCTTATTTTTCCTCAAGTATATGTTTCTTCCAAGGGGAAGTCTTAAAATATAATAAGTGGAAATAAAAAAGATAAAAATGAAAACACCTCTGAAGGCAAAGGATGCAGAACAGCTCCCTCCCAAGATTGTGCTTGGGAGGGAGAACCTAACAGTGGATTTTAAAGAAGAAAGCTTCCTTCTCCTGCCTAAATTTCTATAGAATTTTCTACTAAGGCCAAGGGATTGCCCGAGGTCTCCTGTTAAAAAATCAAGAACAATTTTGGAATGTGGATAGAAGAAAATGAGGTAAGGCTAGGTCAGACACGTGTGTGGAATGAGAGCAAGATGAGTGCTTGAGCTGGGAAAGTCCCTCTGAAAACACCTCTGGAATCAAGAGCTTGCTTAAGGATTAGCTGCCCTGGTCCTTAATTTTCGTGCCAAAGAAAACAGGATGGCTAAAGTGGGCTGATAAGATGTTCAACTCCTTTTACTCCTCACTCAGCTACCCCCACCTTGTGGTGGTACAGCTCAAGAGAAGAGAGAAGGCTGTGTTGGCACCCAGAGCGACTTCCAGAAGAGAATTAAGATAACGGACTCTCAACCCCCTCTGAAGTTTCAGAAGATTCCTCGCAGCCTCTCTAACTTTCTGAAAAAGACAACCCACTTCCCCATTTCTACTGTTCTGCAAATTAAGGGGCTCCAAGATTGAGGACCTTGGTAAGGGAAGAAAAGTCCTTGAAAGGTTGGCCTCGGAAGCCTGACTAGATTCCTTGTAGGGGTAGTCAATTGTTTTCCAAGTCTTTGAATTCCGGAGCTTTCCAGGCAGGATATCCCTGGGGAGCGTTTTATCGCCAATCCCCCGGGACAGCCAGTCCCTCGGAGGTCCTTGGGCGGCCTCCTCGCGAGGGTCCCTCACTTCCTCAGCCCAGCCCCGCTCCACCGAATCCTGCGCTCTTACCTAAAGTCTCCAGGCACGCCAGGCTGCACAGGACGCTAGTGGGAGGCAGACATGGACCAGGCGCCTTCCATGCGCCAAACGGAGAAGGCGTAGCTGAGGCGCTCGTGGGCCACATAGCTGCAGCTGGCCATCTTGGAGTCGAGCTCATCACTCTGCAGAACCTGGTAGAGGAAGTCGATGTAGCGGGCGGCCAGCTTGAGGGTCTGGATCTTGCTCAGCTTGTCCGACGGCAGCGTCGGGATGATCTTGCGCAGAGCCGCGAAGGCTTCGTTCAGCGACTGCGTGCGCTGGCGCTCGCGGACGTTGGCCATCACTCGCTGCGTTTGAAGCTCCTCGTACGACTGAGGGCTGCCTCCTCCGCTGCTGCTGCCCCCTCCTCCTCCGCCGCCGCCGCTGCTGCCGCCGCCGCCCGACTTCTTGCCTCTTTTGCCTTGCGCCGGGCTACACGGCTCCTCTGTCGAGCCGAGCCCTCCGCCGGTCACTCCGCCGCCGCCTCCGGGGCCTCCTCCTCCTGCAGCCGCCCTACGGCTTGAGCGCCTCTTCCGTCCCCCTCGTTTGCCGGCGCCTTGAAGTTGCTGCTGCTGTTGCTGCTGTTGCTGCTGGCGATCGGTCTCCTCTTCGCTGTTGCTCAAGCTTTCGTCGGCGGGCGAGACTGGAGAGTTGGACTCGTCCTGCTGCTGCTGCATCATCTCTAGGGCCAACCTGCGGCGCACTGAGCAGCCCTTTGGAAGGGGCGAGGTGGGGGGCGGCGGGCGATGCTTAGCCAGCCAGCTCCCCGCGGTTAGATCCTTGGCCTGCGAGAGTCCAGATGCAGTCGGCAGCAACTTTCAGTTGGATGGGAGGGTGGAGGCCATGCAGATCCGAAAAGAAAGGCAGCGGAGGAAGGAGAATCTCTGGCGCTGTCAGCTCCCCTCCCGAGGGCTCCTCGGAGCTGGCTGGGAGTTGGGCTAAAGTTGCAGCCTGGAACGCTCTTATAGCTCCTGCTGGCGGAAAGTTTGGGGGCAGCGGTGTCATTGGCTTGACGTGGAGAAGGAGGGACTTTGTAGAGGCTGAGGCGAAAGTTTCCGCTTCCCCCTCCCTCCTCTCCGCTGCCTTTCCCAGACCGTTAGCCAGAGAACGGAGGCAGCTCCTTCCCCAAGCCGCCGGTTGCTCTCAGAGGTTGTTACCCTTCTGCCATTTCCTTCCCCCTCCAAAGGACACCAGCCTTTGAAAGGCTATGGGGAAATGGGCTGTAAGCACCCCGACGCTCCGGTTATCCTCTCCTGGGATCCTCAGACATTTTTCTTCCGAGGCGATCCGCTTAAACACTTCCTTGAAAGCCACCTCAGCTCCGTCGAATCAAGAAGCATTGCTTTCCATGCTATAGTCGTCTGCTTGGAAGGAGGGCCGATTTCTGTCACAAGATTTACTTCCGAGTCATTCCTATCTGGCTGCGCGATTAGGGTCGATTGAGGGTCGTCGGAATTGGTTGCCTTCCCTGGCCACCAAGTTCTGAAGAAGTTGGGTCCAACCCTTGGGTTTGAGCTCCATTTTCAGGCAGGAACTCCACCACCATTTAACCAATTCTGTCCACCACCACATGTCAAAGTCCTAGAAAAAGTTGAACTGCGATCCTAAATAGGCGCAGTTTTCCGCATAGAAAACAAATGATATATTGTTTTACTTCCAAATAAGGGGCATTTGTATCTGTAGATCCCAGACCGTCCAGCAAGAACAGTTTAATGAAACTCTCATTTCATTAATGGCCGCTAATTACAAGTAGAGTGTGAACTGGATGTGAGGAAAGGTATTCCGCTTCTGTTAGGAGTGAATTCCAAGAATATCAAATGGGGTAACAAATTTCAAGTTCAGAATGCGAATTAATTCGGGGCCATGTTACATTTAAGGGAGCCTGTTCAAATGCATGCAGGATCGAGTTGCCTGTTGAACTCTGACTGGATCTCCCCAGGCTCAACTTGGGGAATTAGATTCTGATGCTTCGATCACAGCGTCCCGTTGGCCATTTAGAGGACAAGAGGTGTGCTTTCCAAGGATGTCTCTGCAGCCTTGCTCGCTTCCCTAAGTGCCTCAGCGCTCGCTTCGGGCAGCCGCCCAAAGCGTTGATTTCACGCAGTTCTTGGACGTTGGATCAGAGGCTGACTGATTTCATGAGCGGGAGGGGGGAGTTGAGGAGGGGGAAAGGAGAGAGAGAGTTTACGTCTTGCGGTCTGTCAGAAATCAGAATTAGGGTTCCGTCTAGCTTCATTTCTGACTTATAAAGGCACGGATCCCAGGTAACATTCGACCGATGCATTGTTTATTGGGAAACTTCTTCCCTTCTACCCCCACAAAAGACAATTGCTTCTTACTAGCCGACAAATAAAACAAGATGGACTGAAGATATCCGGCAACGTCCTTGCTTCTGAACTGGGCCGGGGAGAAAATGCGTGTTTCTAAAGGTGACCGAATAATCCACAGATCCAAGATGGTGTTAGCATTCAGGTACTGTTTGGATTGCTTCCTTCCACAGCGGAAGGGCAGCGGGTTCTTCTCCAAAATAAACTGGACCAAGATTCCCCTATTAGCCAAATAACAGGAGGGATGTGTGTTAAAGATATTCCATTGCCGGCAGTGAAAGCTTTGCCATCTAATGGCGAAGGCATCTGCCTTGTTTTCTAAAATATCTTCACTCTACCTTGATTTATAAATAAGTTTGCGCTATGCGCTAAAGGCGGAGAGCGAGGTGTGCTGAAGGTCTTTGGAAGCAGATACTTCCAGCCACCGAGCACATCCAATCTTCTGCGTCCTTCAATACATTAATACAATAGCTTTTACGGCATAAAAAAAATCAAACAAAACTATTCTGGTATTGCTTTATAGTTTTTTTTTCTTTGTTTCTTTCTAAAACGCCAAGCTTTTTAGTCTGCAAAGTGCAGAGATTGGAGAAAAAATGTGTCCCTTAAAAAGAAAAGCTGAAAAGAATTGAAAAGATTTCGTAGGTTTCCCAAGAACTGCCCGCTGGATGCTCGGAACTAAAAGTGCTGCTGTTCTAGCCGCGCCTCTACCCCGCGGCCGCTGTTGTCGCTTTTGCAAATAAATCAATCAGATCAGACCGAAGTAGCGGGGTAAGTTTTCAGAGCAACCGCGGTGCTGCCTCAAGACTGAAAAAAATCCACGTGGCCCACGTGTCTTGAAAGGCGAAGGTAACTTTTCTGGCAGCCGCTGGATCCACGTTTGAGGCAGAGTGGCCTGTCGACCTCCAAATGATGCTGAACTACAAAACCCAGCCTTCGCTGCTTTTGGATCGAAGTCGTTTTTAAACGGATCTAAAAAAGACTCTGGGAAAAAAGTCTTAATCTAGAGGTTAATTCAAAGGTTGGATTTAGTAAAGGAAGGAGAGGGTCTTTTCTTCCTTTAAGCTAAGGCAGATAGCACGTCTAGGGGGCAGCAGGTTGAAGAAAGCCTGTTTAGGCCTAGCTGAACATAGTTCGACAATATTTTATTCATTTTTTTCCTAGTAAAAACGCAGCGTCGGGAAAGGGAAATGCAAAGTGCAGAATTTAACCGTCTCCTGCGGCCCCTCCGCTTTAAACCCGTCGTAGCGTTCAACCGGCGTTTTCCTACAGTGTTTCGGGCAGTGCCTTTACTTCGTCAGCCTCGTTTCATTTCCAAAACAATGATTATTATGGCCACCTCCCCCCCCCCCGAGATCCAAACTCGGGAGACACTTACTCTCTTCAGATGTTCCTCAAAACTTTATAAAAGGAGGACTTCTGACCTGAGAAAGGTCCCTAGAAAGGTCACGTCTGATGGCGAAGGTGGCGCTTACTTTCTGGAATCAATCGTGTAGGAAGGAGTTATGTCGGCCAGAGTTGCTCTCAATAGGATGGATGGATGGATGGATGGATGGATGGATGGATGGATGGATGGATGGATAGAGATAGATAGATGATTGATAGAGATAGATAGATGATGATAGATAGAGATAGATAGATAGATAGATAGATAGATAGATAGATAGATGATAGATAGGAGGTAGGTAGGTAGGTAGGTAGGTAGGTAGGTAGTTAGGTAGTTAGGTAGGTAGGTAGGTAGGTAGNTAGATAGATAGATAGATAGATAGATAGATAGATAGATAGATAGATAGATAGATAGATAGATAGATAGATAGATAGATAGATAGATAGATTATTTTTTGCATGGTCAGAAAACTTTTCTGGTCTTAGAAGGGACTGAAGAAAATGGGAGGTGCATTTATAAAAGTTGCTTGCTTAAAACTTTTGGCACACTGGTCCTTTTATTGGCCTCACAACAATCCTGTGAGGTAGGTTAAGCTTGAAACAATAAATGACCAAATGATTTACGTTGGGGATCGTTTTAAGCAAGGACTGTTCGGCTCACAAATCCTGCTATTTCTTGAATGTCACTGATGGCAGAACAGGAATTTATAGTGATTTAAACTCTTTATTTATGCTTAATTTCTTAGCCAGGAAGAGGTCAGGGACTGGAATCAAAAGCTTTAATGTCCTTAATTCTGTCACTGAGTTAAGGACCAAGGTTTATTTAAGGGAATAATTATACCTTGATAATCTGAAACTTTTGCTCATCTCTTCCCACATTCCAAAATTGTTGCTTAAAGTGTAATCAGCTTTTATCTTCCAGGTCCATGTAAGCGTTGGAAAACTGTGGGACAACACAGCTCAGCCCTGAAAATGAACTGAGAAGTCATCTTTCCCATTTTTCTGTAGGAGGTTACTCAGAATTTGCCAATGAATTTGATTTCCTTCTTGGCGTCTCTAGTCAAGTGGTTTAAAGTGGACCAGAGTTGTTGCTTTCCCAAACTTTACCCCTCCCTTTCAGTCAAAGGGATTGCATTATCACTTCTAATCTAACTGAACCATCCCACAAAATGCATCAGATGGAGCTTTTAATAAGCTACAAGTAAAATGCTGGAAAAAAAGCATAAACACAATCCCTTCAAGTGCTGCCAATGAATATTAAAGTAGGGGATAATTTAAAAAGAGGGGTGGGGGTGGGGAAGCAACATAAGGATTTTGCTTTCCTCATCAGCAGGGACAGATATATTTTACATACTGTTTAGAGGATTTTTCAAACACTTCCCCATTCCAGCTTTTAAAAGACAATTGGTAAATCAATCAATTAAACAAACAAATCCCTATGTTTTTAACATTGGGCAAGCTATGAGAAGTGGACTCTGTTCTGATCTACTTCAGCCTGAATTAAAAATACTAGCCTAAAATAATAAAGTCAGGAAAACTGGCTTCTTTCAGACAGTAGTGTCTATAGGTATTGGCCAAAGAATAAAAATTACAGCAACAACCTTCTTTATGTTTGTGTCATGATCACACCATAAAGACAGCCATTTTGTTTTTTGTTTTTACCATACCCCGCAGGCACCTCTGATATCAATCTAGAGATAAGAATCAAGCATTCTGTTCATTCAAAATCCAGCCAGGTGCATATTAAATAAAGACAAGTGGCCAGTCCAACATACAGAACCATGTTTTCTAAGAAAAGACACCCAGTATTGCTACTAATATTAAAAAATATAATAAACAGACATCATAGTTGGTAGCTAAGGGACCTTTCCCCATGGCTGAATTGTGTCCCTAGATCTACAGAAAACACCTTTGCCATAATATTTGTTTTTCTTAGTGTCCATTCTTATCCTTAGTTCCCAGTCGCCTAA